TTTTTTTTTTTTTTTTTTTTTACAATATTACTGACACTTTCAACTAATCAAATTAATACCTTACTTCTCCTGCTTTGATATCATATATTCATTTTAGGGAAACCTAAACTTCCCATCACTTAAGAAAAAACTGTTTCCCCCCACCCCCATGATTTAAATCTGCAAGCAAAGACTTACCAGTAATATGAGTTTTTGATACTTTTGTTTTAGGTCTGACATACTTGCAGATGGGTCTGCCCCCAGAATGCTGTACCAATTCTTCTTTGGTATCTGCTCAAATGCCATCATCCACTGAACAAGAAGTGGGCCTTCTCAGATAGGCTTAATAAAAATATTGATGACGATGCATTAGTTTGCAGGATCGAAGAAATACGCAAGTACGTTTCTAAGTTCTTTAATATTTAGTTGAGTAAATCATGATTACAATACAATCCTCATGAAGCATATATTTTCATTTTCATTCAAAACGCCCCAAGAATCTCACGTGTAAGTATACAGACAAGGATGGAACATGTGTTACAGGTTTCATGATATACAGTTATATCTTAAATCAATGACTATATAATAGCATTAAGAAAAAAGAATCCGAAAATGAACCCGAGCGGTGATGACCTCTAAGGAGGTATTTGTGCTAGTCTCATGGTAAAGGCGGCACACAAGAAATCCTCAGTAAACACACTAGAGAAATTTAATAAATGCTGACAAATTTAAAAAATGTTGAAAACAAAACAAAACAGCAAAGAATTAAAATGAATTTGGGAGCATTCCCTCTTAGCGTTTCCATTTCTTAGTGTTCACATTTCTTCCACATTACCTCAATAGAGTAATACGGGAAAGGGCCGGTCAGCACCGGCGGCAGGTAGACAGCAAGAGTCCCTCGGTTTCTGGCGCTCACAAAGAGCTGAAAGTGCTCACAGGAGGACACCCCAGCCCTCTAGACTACAGAACAGACCTCGCCGGGAGCCCCAGAAATCAGGCAACCTCTTCCCACAGCCGGTAACTTCAAGAGATGGGGGTGGGGAGCTCCTCAAAATTGAGACTTGGGAATCCACTGTACTCACTGCGGCTGTACCACCCAGCCTTAGGCGGATACCCTCCGCTGCCTTTACTCAGTATCAAACTTACCAAACTTCTTACAGTACTTCGTACCCACTCCTCGCCTGCAGCCTGCCAAAACCCGGAACCGGCTTCTCCTTCCGCCGGAAGTCATTGCTCTGACGTGACTACGTTTCTAGTCGAGCTCTTATGGCCGAGACACCAAGCAAGAGGCGCTCCGCCCTCCTGGACGCGGTCGCTATGGTAACCAGTCTCTGCTTCCCAGGAGTTTACCAGCAGTAAGTGTCGGGTTGTGAAAAGAGGTGTCTTTCGCTTCTTTCTAACTCCCTTTTGTCCCAGGTCTGCGACTGTAGCGTTTCTCCTCTCCCCCAAGAGTACTTCACACCCGGGCTTCCCCCGCCTTCCCCAAAGCTCCCTCCGCTTACCCTGCCCAGCGCTGCTCCCAATCCTTTTGTGGTTGGTGA